GGAACCACTCTAGGTCCCAGGTAGTGCCTGGCAGTTGTGCTACTGCCCTTCTTGTGAGCATGGTCAGAACGCAGCACACCCACATGGCTAGGCGTCATGCTGTCATCACGAGTAATCTCACAGCCTGGGTGCAAACTCGCAGAACATCTGTGGTTCTGATAGGCCCCTCAGAGCTTCCATACTTCCTGGGTTCAGCTGCCGGCGGGCCCCTGCTCTGCCTTGGCAGTACCATTGCCTTCCGCTCTGGCAGGTGGTATTTCTGTCCTGTATTGTGCAGCTATTTGAGTGTTTGCATTTGGATGGAGCTTGAGAAGAAGAAAACCCCCATCCCCAAAGCGGGGTGAGTTGTGGATAGAGGAAAATGCTCGGTCCTTCCTCTCGAGGCAACTTTGAAAATCCCTGGTGGCACCTGAGCCTCAAGTTGGCAGTTGTCCAGGCTCTAGGACATAAATCCAGTCCCTGAAGGGCTCCTGTGCATGGGCAAATCCTTCAGTTCTGGTTTGTCTGTCCTTGTATGGCAGGGAAGACGGTGCTGCTGAGCTGGCCTCTGGCAGGGTGCAGATTTCCTTCCGAAGCTGGCAAGAGGGGAGCCAAACCCCGAGGTCCACATCTACAGAGGAGATAAAACAACCCAAAGTGACTTTGCCCATACAAACACTTGCACGCACAAGTGTTCGGGCTAAAAGGTGTGCGAGTTTTGCACACACCAGAAGTTAGTTGCACAAAAATGGACACTGTGCTGAGGCCCCTATGAACATGCAGCCCTGAGTGCCTGCAGCTTCCGTGCCAGGACTGCTCATCATCAGCTGACGCTTTGGCATTCCCCATCGTGCTGACTTGCTGCTGCTGTAAGCAGTCTCCCACCAACACCAGTGCCTGGAAAGTCCTGGGCAAAGGACACTGGTTCTCAAGAGACTGCACCAGCCTCTTCCCTGAGCCTCCTCCATCAGTTTGCCTTTTGGCGCTGGACTGTTGAAGTGCTTTTCTTAGCATCCATCTCCTCCAGCAGGAGATTAGTGGAGTCAGGGAAGTGTGCATGGACAGGCAGCTACCTGATTGAGGGTTTATGGCAACATAGGAATTGCCCTGCTCGATAAGCCTATTGGTCCATCTAATCCAATATCCAGCCCCTGGCAATAGTTCCTATCTGATGCTTCAGAGGAAGGGGGGAAACCCCAGCTGCTGCCCCTGGGGACAACCCACTTAGATCTGATCAGGAGCCAGTGTTTCCTGACACCTGTCCCGATTCTTCCTTGCCTGCAGGGATGGAAGCAGCACTCGTGCCATGTCAGGATGGCCGTAGAGTATTTTGTGGTACATGTCAGGCCCCGCCGGGTTTCCTATAAACACTTCTCTGGAAAAATACCACGGCTTCCTCCTGGGCAAAAAAAGAGGGTGCAGGAGTGGAGGGAGGGGGGCTTTCTGCAGGGCAGGTTGTTCTCCCCCCCTCCCCTTTGTCAAGCCTTGCCAGAGGCTGGATGTGTTTGCGCCAGTGGAACCAGTTTGGGGTGAAGATGGTTGTTCCTCACTAGCCCATCCTGTCCTCATCCACTTGGGTGCTGCTGCAGCACTTCATAGTTGTCCTGGGGGAACCCGCCGTTCCCCATCAGTAGCCTCAGCCAGCTTGGCTATGCAGGAACGGAAGGAGAGGGATTTAACTGGTACATTTGGCTCCTGCATTACATCTCCACCAGCTCAGAATCCCTGCGCTGCCCCTGGGGAGTCCTACGTGCTAGCAAGTTTCATCTGGCATTGGTAAGTTTCCTGTCTTGCTGCCTTTATAGCAGGCAGTGCCTAGGATAAGCCTCCTGCCACTCTTGAGTAGGAGATCTCCCTCAGTATCCAGGCTGGAAGACCTGTAATCCCCGGTGAACACTCCTCTGTCTTGCTGTGTATCATTCACCAGTGGGTCCTCAGCACAATGTGAGCTTTGAAAAGCTTTCATAGTTCAGTTCCCTTAGCTAATGCTGACTCTCTGGCGGTCTCTTCTTTAAAGGGTGCAACTCAAAACTGGTCTCTTCTGATGTCTGTTAGTTCTCCCCATGTGCTGTGATACGGTGGATTCTCAGAAGGGTCAAGCCAGGTCTGAACTTTGAAGCAAAACCCAAGGTGATAGTTCAGGATACCCCGTGTGCAGCGCTCTTCCCTGAACATTGCTAGTGCTGCCATTCAGAGGTGATGTAAACCAGAGGACTTGACCGTTTGTGGCTGCTTAAAGATTCCATGGTGCGTTCTGCAAGAACCGGGGTATTGGCCCCAGTGTCCTAGGTCGGATCATTAATTTCTGCCAGCTCACATGCCTTTTGCAGTTTGAAATTAATAAGAACATAAGAACAACCATATTGGGTCAGACCAGTGGTCCCTCTAGCCCAGTATCCTGTCTTCCGACAGCGGCCAGTGCCAGGTGCTTCAGAGGTAATGAACAGAACAGGCAATCATCAAGTGATCCATCCCCTGTCGTCCACTCCCTACTTCTTGCACTCAGAGGCTAGGGATGCTCAGAGCATGGGGTTGCCTCCCCGACCATCTTGGCTAGTAGCCATTGATGGAACTGTCTCCTGAATTTATCTAATTATTTTTTAATCCCAGTTATAGTTTTGGTCTTCATAACATCCCCTGGCTAGGAGTTCCACAAGTTCACTGTGTGCTGTGTGAAGACATTCCTCCTCTCTTTCCCATCAAACCCCGTACTAAGTACTGGAATGGTACTATACACTAGCTGCATTCCCCGGACACTACATAAATGCAAGGGACTGCAGTGTAAAGCTGAGCTCTTGATAGTTTGTCCTTTTAAGTGATCGGGTTTAATAAAGGTCATGTGGTTCAGAGGGTAAGGTCTCCGACTGGCAGAAGACATAGTTCTAGTCTTGACTCTGTTGCTTATCTTGGGCAAGTCCCAGCTTTCTCTGTGCCACCGTCTCTCCATCTGTAACATGGGTGATAATGCTTGTGAGCTCTTTGGTAAAGCGTGTTATCATTGAACAGAAAACACTAGGTATTATCATTTAAATGTGGATGCATGCGCCATGATTCAATGCGCGTGTTGTTTGACAGGTGCCCAGAAAGGCCCGTTTGCATTGCTCATTTCTGCCATCTTGGGCTCTGTCCCTCGTTTTCTAATTTGCTGATTTCCCAAAGTGCTCCAGCCTAGCCTGTTTTTGAATGGCCTGAAATGAAGGGGAGGTTTGGGGCAGGCTCAGCAATCAGCATGAGGCTAGGGTAGCTTTGTAAAAGAAAGTTACCTTGCCGTGCCAGCTGCACTGGGAAGGCTGGCCTGGCTTTTCTGTATCCGACTCAGTGGAAGCCGGACATTGTAATCTACATCAGACACAGGGGAAGTAGGAGCTTGTTCCATTGTGTCTGGAACAGTAAGTGGACGGCTGGAACAATCACAGAGCTGTTTTTCCAGATGCCCTTTCGGAGCAAGCATTCTCTGTAGCTCCTTCCCTCCCCCGGTCTGTTGAGTGAAACCCTTCTAAGATGAGCCCTTGTGGGTGGAGGAGATATCCTTTTCCCAGGCAGGCACGCTTCCTTTCTTCATATTAAAAACCGATGTCGCAGCGCCAGGTCAGGCAGTTCTCAGGCACAGTGAGTTTGTTGGGTCTCAGCTTGGTGCCGAGCGGTCCTTTTGTCCATATTACAACCGTAACCTTGTGGCTTCACCCAGCGGGAAACGAGGGTTGAGGTGCGACCTGCACTGAAAGCCAAATAATAACCGTTCTGCCTCTGGTTGAAAACAAACCTCCCTTTCTGTCACTGAAGATGTGTGTGGTAGCCAGGCAGAGCTGTTGAGAGTGACTGCCCGGTGAAATGCTGTTCATTTGAAACGAGAACGCTAATTAGTAGATGTCACCTGAATCTCACTTTGTAAGGAACTGTTTAAAAGATGCAGCAGAGATGCGGGGTTTGGAGAACATGATCCAAGGTATTAGCTTCAGTTACTAGCCCAGCTGATTGTTATGAAATCTGTGTGCGGATGTGATGGAGCAGACTTAGGCCAACTCTTTCTTTTCCTGCCTTTAAAATGCATCATTTTTTTATTAAAGCGCCTACAGGCTGAGTCCGCACTAGGGGATTTCCCTGTAGTGGAGGATGGCAGCAGCTGACCACAGCTTCGCTGAGAGCACAGACAGGACCCGTGCTCCAGAAACGGGGGCTGAACCTGGCTCTGAGCAGGACTGGCAGTGCCCGCTGAGTTTCCCAGGCTAGAGGAGGCTAAGGAGAACTTTTCACAAAGGCCTCTGGGCCAGCATGCTCACCAGTTACTAATGTGCAAACACAAGCCCAAATTCTGAGGTATGCTGAGCCTTTCTCAGTGGGCCCAATCCTGAAGCCCTCACTTCTTGCACACTCAACCAGACTTCTCCCTGAAGTGAATGGGAGTTTGCCTGAGCAAGGCTGGATCCTGTCTCTTGGGGGCCAAATTTTCAAAACCGGGTGGCCTAAAGTTAGGCTCCTTAGAGCCATTTTCAGGACTATCTAGGAACAACCTGTTTTTCAGAGGTGCTGAGCACCTGCAGCGCCCATTGATTTCAATAGGATTTGATGGGTGCTCAGCACCTTTGGGAATCTTGTCATTTGGATTTAGGAGCTTGACATTAGGCAGCTGGGTTTGAAAGTTTTGGCTCAGGATTTGGCCCACTGGTTGTCAGGGGTGGTGAGCTCCATTCCAGATCGTGCCTGGGGGCTGCAGGGTACGTCAGGCAGTCGCCAGCCTTCCAGGATGGTGGGAGTGACTTAGTGAAGGCAGAGCTCCCTGCACCCTGGTACAGTGTAGCACTCAGGGCCCCTTAGCAGTTGCTGGCTCCCTTTGTGCCCTAATCAGCAGACAGACAATGGGATGGTTGAGGGAGAAGTGGCTAGCCTGAAACAGGAGGAATTGTGCATTGTGTTTCCAAAGGCTTGTGCTCCAAAGGGGGGAGTGGGTTGATCCCCTACATTAAGCTATTCCCTCCCTCCTCGCATTACAAAGCAGATATTTTGTCTCCCATCCAATACAGATTTTCCTCTTTTGTGTGGACTTTTCTTTCTCTTTTTTCCCCCCACCAAAGGCTGCAACTGCTAAGAGGCGTAAGTCTCCCCCGCAGGACAAGTCCAGCTGTATAGTAACAGAACCCCAAAGACACTGAAATGTGAGTGCAAAGCGTGCCCCAGCAGGGAGGGCAGTGCACTCCAGACAAAATTTGCATGTTGTCATATGTTGCTTTTACTTAGCTGCTGCCTTTAATCAACTTACCAGTTGATTGTATTAGCATTACTGCCGGCTAATACCTCTTTGACAAGGTCCCTAGTATAAACATGGTGCTTCTTGGGGACCCCCTCCCCTGCCTAACAGCCTGTACGCAGGGCCAGATTTTGCAAACCCATCCTCATTTGGGCTTAAGCGGGACCTTGGGCTGGGATTTCATCCTTGAGGAGTAATGGGACTGATTTCACAAGGAAAGATTTCTGTGACCGGCCCAAGGGTTGTGTGCAGAGCAGACGTATTTAGTAGCAGTTGTGTTTCCCACATGCACCTGACTCTTAACGTGTCCCTGTTTTCTTTTCTCTTTCTTTCCAGAAGGTGATGCTTCCTACAGGAGCTGCATTCAGATGGTTTCAGTAGGAATGAGAATTCCAAAGCTCTGTCATCCAAGTGCAATGTCACTGCTTGCTTGTGTTGTCTCAGGCAAGGAATTTTTTGGCTGAAATGAATGGATGCACCTGTGTCTCTTTAGAACCAAAAATATTTTCTCGCAGATTTCATTCCTGTTTTTATATATATATTTTTTTTGCGTTTGTTTTAACATCTTCAAGTCCTAGTAAAACATTTAACTGCTTTTCAAATAATAATAATAAAAAAATGGATCTGTAAAGTACCAAGACTTAATAGACAGAGTATGGACAATCAGTTTCTTTCTGTGTTTTGGTGTTGATGTTGTTTATGTGTGGAAGATGCAGTTCTTGTGTAGAGAATGTAAATTTACAGTAACCTTTTAAAATCTAGTTACTAATAAGCACTACTGTAATTTAGCACAGTTGTTTAATTACACCCTCATTTATAACTTTTTATTTGATTATTTCCCATCATAAAATAGAGTGGATAGTTTCTAGAATGCCTCAACTTCATGTTTATAAATGAGAATATGTTTAAAACGATGTAGTATCCCTTTTCCTAACCATTCACATATGTAAGTTTAACCAGCAAGAAGCTTGGTATTAAAGATGAAAGAAAAATTGCTGCAAAATGGGCAGTCTTGGAAAAAAAATCATTGTTAGTTTATTAATATAGAACAAGAAATACTGCATACAGGGAAAACAAGATCCTAATTGCAATGGTTTACTTATAGAAATCATTTTTATAAACTTACTGAAGTTAAAAGAAAAATAAAAAAAAATTGCAGGACCTGTGCTGAAGCAGTTCTGAAAGCTAATATTTCTCTTATGTTCAAATCCCCGTTTCTCCAGCTCTCTCTACATCAGTAAATTGAAATGCTGTTTGTAATGTTTTAGCGATCCAGGCTGTTTTGTGAATAAAATGAATGCATGTTTTGTGTCATGATTTACATCTCGTTTTTTTCTGTCCATTTCTGTTGCACGCAGTTGTGAAAAAAAAAACATAAAAAAATGTCCCTTTTGAATATGTCACTTCTTGTGTCATGGCATTTTCCTAAGTTTGCCTTTCTTGGCATTCAGGGTTTGGGGTGTATTTTTTAGTTTTTTTGTTTTGCTTTTGTTTTTTATCAGCAGATTAAAAAATAAATAAGTGAATTGTAAATGTTTGCCAGTGCAAATGGAGCAATCAATCATTTTTTCCCTAAGGTTGCATATGTTACATTTTTAACTGGTTAGCTGAATAGCACATGTTCTGCAAAATACATACTGTGTTAAATCTGGGTTTGTTACAATATACTTAGGAGTCTAAACTAAACTGTGCTAGGCTTGATCACTAGAATTTTCATTACAGGTAGCATGTGGACAACCAAACTACAGACTCCTTGGAAACTGATGTAGGGTTGTTGGTAGTGGTGAGTTTGTTGGGGAATTGACAACTTTTACCAAGCGATGGAATCGGCACTGCAGTCCCTTGTGTAAATTGAGGCCAAATCTGATTGGAAGTGATGGGTGTTATTTTCAGAAGCATTCAGTGTTTGCCTAGAATTCGCCTCCCACTAGGTAACCATTGGCCACAATGGGAGTAGAGATGCTTCAACACTGAGTGTGTTGACAGCCCCATCTTCATGGACATATTGTAACATGTGAATGGTGCATTTCTGAAAGAGGAATCAAATGAAATAAATGGTGTCCAACCCATGAGCTTTCTCATTTTTGCCTTTGGCCCTTTCCCACCCTGCTTGGGTCCAAAGCCGCACGAGGAGCAGGACTGTGACACTGTTTCTTGGGTCCCTTATCCCAGATCTGCAGATTTGGCAATGTATGCTGGGGACCTGATCCAGCTCCCAGTGAAGTCAATGGGAAGGCGGTCCTTGACTCCACTGGGAGTGAGATCTGGCCATAGCAGTATTGCGCTGATATTTTTTTTCTTTCTTCCTTCCTAACAAACAGCTGCACCAAGGTCTCTCCTCCTTGCCATTGCAGTTTGCGAGGTCCAGACATTCACAGCTATTTGCTGCAGGAGCAGTTCCCAACCCAGCCCACCCATAAGTGCTCAGGCTTTTCCAATGGTGCCCAACACATTAGGGTCCCGAGCCCCTGGTGCCATGGCAGGAAACACAACGGGCTACAAGTCTGAATGCCACCACTTGTTCAATCTCACCGTATTTAATCATATGAGTCGTTTGGTTAAAAACGATCTCCCTTAGTGGGAATATTTGACCAGCTAGACCTGCCTAGAGTTTTACCATACAGTACATGCCATTTGCTTTTGTAAAACAATGCAATCATGCCACAGATAACTGTATTTAGACTGGCTCTGTCAAGACAAGGATAAAATAGATGCTTAGAAACAGGAACTCTTTTTTAGTGAGTAAGTTTAGATAGCTGAATGTTCAATAAAACAAATTTACTCTGCGCTTGTGAAGGGGTGAGTCTGTTTTGGGGATAATTAACAAGTGTGTGCGGCTTGCAGCCTGGGTCACTCGCTAGATCACGTGGAGGGTGGACGCAGTAGAAGCTAAGGACAGCCAACCTTGGGGTGCGGCCTACGCTACTTCACCCCATGAGTAGCGCTGCGAGTCACTATGCCCAACATACCTCTCTGAGCCCGGATTTGCTCCCTGTGTCCCTGTGCTCCAGGCTGGATGGGGGCGGGACAGCGTTGTAATTTGTCACTGGCTAATACCAGCAGCAAATTCTATCCCTCTTCTTCCCGTGTGCCAGCTCAGCTGGCCAGTATGGTTGTCAGGGGTGGGGCCAAGGCTCTCTGCATTCCCCACCCCCTCCTCAGACACCTGCTCCAGGGAGCAGGGGCTAAGCCAGCATGCAATGTCCTCTCTGTGCATTGAGGAATGGAGCTCAAAATGCTCTGATCCCTTATGAGGTCATGCAATGCCTGCTCACCTTCCAATGCCCCAGCCTGAGTTCTGGCTAGCAAGTGCAGATGTGTGAGGGGTCTCTTACTCCCCCTTGCTCCCTTGCATGAGTGTGTGGTCTAAGCCACAACTGAGCCCTAAGCATGTATGCAGTTGAGAGTGTTTACAGACTCCTGGTGGATTTGGCCAGGGCTCCAACATTCACAAATTGCTAAATGCCCACTCAGTGAAGGAGACAAGGTGGGTGATATAACACCTTTTACTGGCCCAGCTTCTCTTGGTGGAAGGTACAAGCTTTCAAAATACACAGAGCTCTTCTCCAGGTCTGGGGAAGGGCCTTTCCCAGACCCGGAGAAGAGCTTTGTATAGCGCAAAAGCTTGTCTCTTCCAGTAACAGAAGTTGGTCCAATCAAAGCTACTACCTCACCCACTTTGTCTCTCTCGTAGCCTGGGACCAACACGGCTCCACCAACACTGAAAACAGTGACGGGCGATTTGCTTGCATCCTTCTCCAGCCATTTCAGACAGGTTATGGAGAGAGGAACTGTGGGCCAACCATTGATCATTAGAAGACCTAGGCGTACCAATATATTTATCAGATTGTGCTGCAGCTGGCCATGGGATTGGGAGTCAGGGGCTTTGGGCTCTATTCCTGTCTCTTCCCAAGGACTCCTTGGGCAAGGCCTCAGACTCTTGGGACAGAGTGGTCATAAGTACTGCCCTGCCACTCATGGCATTGGGAGGCTATGGTCATGATGATTTGTGAACCACCTTGAGGTCCTCAGGTGGGAGCTGCTACAGAAGTGCAACACGTTAGCAGGGTTAGGGCAAGCCCTTGTGCAGAGTATATCAGCATCGTCGCTGGTTGGGTTATGACTTATTAATTGTATGCCAGTAGCACTTGGGAACTCAATCAGATCCGAGCCCTATTGTGCCAGGTGCTGTACAAACACAGAGCTAGACACAGTCCTACCACAAGGAGCCTCCAGCCCAATGGGCGGCATGGGGAGAGAAATTACACTTCTCAACTAGCCAGATCCTCTTGGGGAAAACAGCTGGGAGTCTCTTCCACCCTGGATAGCTCAGTGCCTGACGCGTGGCAGCCATTAAAACAGTCTAACAAGGTAGCTTGTAAAAAAGGGATAGACAGGCACATGGACCTCAGCATGCCATGAACCAAGTCACTGGTACCAGGCTTCCAGTATTCTGTTCAAGTGTATGACAGGGACTTGGGTAAGACAAGCCATTGCAAAAGCATATTAGTTCAGAGCTGAGCTTGCCAGAGCCATGATAAAGGTACAGTGGCTGCTGTTCACCTTGACGTGGCCTGTGAGGACACAGCGGCACATGCTGGGAGTCCATGAGCAGAGCGTCATTACCTCGCCGCTAACCAGCGTGCCACACATGGAGCAGGAGTAGCTGGCTGCACTTGGCATAACAGGTCGGGGTTAGCTGGGCATTGCTTGTCAGGTTGCAATTGACCAGAAGAGCAAACAGGAGATGCCATAGCAGAGCAGCACCCTGGGCCATGTTGGCTGGTACCCAGTATTCAGCAGCGGCTGCTATTTGATATTTACGTGGAAGGCAACCGCCTCCCCACGCCCCTCCCCCCCAAACCCATGAATCAATGCTATAAACCTGACCACAGATGAATTGGGGGGAACATTTTATCCCCACACACAATCCCTTCCATCTCTTAGCTTCTCCATACACCCTGGCACCGGGGCCCTCGTGTAGCAATCTTCTGAGCTCGTACAGCTGCAAGTCTTAGCCATGCTCAAAATTAGCCAGCCTTTCTCTTTAAATATAGACCTGCTAAGCTTTAGTCTGAGCTCAGTGAAACTGGAGTTGCCACAGGAGTAACGCCACTGGCACCAGCTGAGCCGTAGCAGTGCCAAATGGGTTTGAGCGAGAGCAGGATAAACCCCCCTCTCCTCACCCCCCCATGTGTCAGAGCTGCACACAGGCCAATTAGGCCGTTGCTCCCTGGACTGTGCCAGTCACCGGGTGCACGGAAGGGGCTGGCAAGGTCCCTTCCAGAGCACAGAGTCTGCATGTGCCTGAGGCCTGCTGAGGCACAGGGCAAAACAGGGCTGCCTGTTATAACCCATACTGTGAGCGGCACGTGGAAGAGACTGGAGTGTTCTCTGCCTGAGCCTTAGAGGCAAACCAGGTGTGTAAGGCCAAGGTGTATTACAGAGGCGCCTGCGTGCTGGAAAGCAGCATCAGTATGAACATGCTCAGCTGTGTACAGAGTCCTTAATGAACGCCCCGCGTGATCATGGAAGGGTTTCCCCCGTGTGCGCTGTGTGAGGCTGTAGTGACGTACCGGCCTTTGGGCAGTTGCAGCATTGGGTGCAGGTGAAAGCTCCAGCGGAGACGGGGCCGGGGGGGGGGGGGGGGGGGGGGGGGGGGGGCAGGTATTATAAACACAGATTGACTGGTGTCTCCACGCACTGTGTATGCTGTTGTTTTACAGGGGTGAGAGCTGAGGCAGAATGTGGGAGAGAAATCTGGCTGAGCTGACCTAGCAGACGGAGGGACTAAGAAGCGTTTGACATTGCTAGTACAGTAGTACCTGCTGGTGACAACTAAGTGAAGGCCAATTGTTCTAGGTGGTCTACAAACATGTGGTAAGAGACAGGCCTGCCCTGCAGAATGTACAGTCTAAATAGCCAGGACAGATGTGGGCCCCGACAAGGAGCAGGGACGTGACTTGCCCAAGATCAAACTGCAAGTCAATGGGTGAACCAGACTCAGCACACAGCAATCCTTCTCCCCCCCCTCTCAGTATGCACCACCACACTGCATTGCTTCCCTGTGTAATCCCTCCCCTTCCAGGAGCACAAAGCCCCACACACTCACTGGTTTAGCCTGCGCCTTACAACCCTGGGGAGTAGCTAAGGGACCTAGCCCCTTTTTGCAGGTGAGGGTCACACAGCAAGGCAGCCACAGAGCCAGGGTTACACCCCAAGACTGCAAGCACCCAGCCCTATGATCTGACCACTAGCTCACACTGCCTTGGCTTGGTGCAGTGAGGTGAAATAGAAAGGCTGTTTCAGAAGGTACAATGGAGGTTTGTGGAGAGGTTCTGGGAGTGGCTGGAAAGCAAGCCAGCGCTAGCTAAGTGGGGAAAGGCACGAGCAGAGCCCGGTGCAGGTGCTGGGCCATTTATTCTAATTGTTATAAATGGAGGGCAGTTCTGAGCTGCATGGCCCAGAGCCTCAAAGGTATTTAGGTGCCTAATTTGCATGGTTTTCAATGGGTGCCTAAATCCATTTGGGGAGCTGGGCCTAAATGACTGTCCGAGTATAAGTGATCTCCAGGCGACCGTCCCTCCTTGTAGCTTCTGGATGACCCCAAGCCCAACCCCATGGCTGATGGCTGTAGACTGAGTCCTGCCACAGAAATAAGCCCTAGGCTACCTGTACAGAGCTACAGACTCACTAGCCGAGCAGGCAGTGATGTTTGTAACTGAGCCATTGAGGGGTGCACCATGCCGCGTAATGCCCAAGGATGGAGAAAACCCACTGGGGCCATCTAGTTCAATAGCAGGATTGTTCCCTACTGACTGGCCATCAAACTCCTCTGCCCGCCCTTGGCCAGAGCTGGGGAGGCAGCCGTTTGGTGAGAGCATGGCTCCACTTTGCGGGCTAAGGAGCGTCAAGACAAAATGGTAAAGTCAGGGGAGGAAAACTAGAGCACCCCAAAAAAAGTCAAAACTACAAACCTAGACCCCTCCATGCTGCCCCCAAACCCCACATCAGGCCAAAGGCACCAATCCACTACGGCAGAGACATCAGAGCTGCCCAACTGGCTCAGCCCAATGGCTCAGGCACTCCGAGAGCTGAGCTACAATAGCGGCCTACATCAGATGCTGCAGAGGGATGGTCAGTTATGCCACAGCCTGCCCATGGAGCCAAATCCTGAGCTCAATGAGACCACTGTAAATGCAGAGTCAGTCAAGAGTGTTACTCTGGATTTGCGTGCATGTGACTGATGTCGGACGCGGAGGCCCCGGGGCACTCTGCAGTGCG